CAATGAGAAAATACGATACGATATAGTAAAAAACGCTATGCAATATATAATGTCAGCGAAAAATAAAATAACAGAGCAAGAATAAAGAATGCAACATTGATATATCATCGAAATCTTCTACAGCGAGAGTTCGCGACAATCGCATCCCCATTTGACTTTTGCAAGAACCTGGCGATAATGAGGAAGATGGGACTCGTCGAGGCGTGCGATTTTACGAGAGCCAAGAGGTCGAGCGAATCGATGGCACCGTGCGCTTAAGTACCGAGCTTCGCATGGGGATGAGAAATGCCGTCGTGTTCCCAAGAGGGACATCATTATAATACATCGCGTCGCCGCCAACCACCCCCTTGTTAGATCCGCATGCGGGGATTCGCGCGATTCGTTCGACCACTTTTCTCGCGATTCGCCGTGACGAACTTTGAACTTTCATCGCCGTATCGCGTCGTTCAATTTATTGTCCGTCATCCCCCTCAATACAGTAAACTATATAATTATTGATATCTACGCCGCATCTCTCCTCGTATAAATATCGTTATACCATTGTCCCGCGCGTTTCGTTAATATGATGAATCGAGAGATGCTGAACGATTTCTCAAATCTTGACGCCATTTCGCTTAACTCAATCGTCGCTATTGAACGGATACTTATTGCTTCTTTTTAATGCTGTGTCTACTTTATTGTTACTTCGAAACTTGTTCAATAATTCTGTAATATAATTGTGCAAAATTATTGAGATTTTAAGATGGTCAAAGATTAATGAAACATATATTGTCAATTGATGTTAATCAAATCTTTCTCGAAATATATAATTTTAAATTAAAAATGATTGATATAATATTTGCAAACGAATCGCTGTAAGAATTGTACGATTGCCAAAACACGGCCGAATTCAAGTAAACCTCCTAACAGAATTTTTTTCAGCATTATGCTCGATGCAATAAGATCGGCATGCGGTGCGCTTTATTACGTCGGAAAAACGCGCGAGAAGGGTTCATGCAGGGTCTCTTCTCACGGGGGTAACAAAAGAAAATGGTATGTCTTCGTGAAACGGATACGCGATTGAATGCTCGACCGCCCTCTTTATATTCCTCCCGCTTAGTCGAATGATTCGGGCTGAATCGAGTCACTCGTCGTCCCCGTCGCGTTTCACCGAGGCGTCGAACCGTGGATAAACGGAGGTACGGCGGACGTACAATGATCGGGAGAAGCGGGATTAAGCAAGGAGATGCCCCAGTGACACCTGATACTACGTAATTAGATGTCGACCGTGCGCGATGCAGCTAGAAAAGTCGATAGAGACACAATTACCACGGAATTATGGCAGACACGCACGCATACGCTTGTATTAAAGCTTTTTACATTTAAATTGTTAATTATAAATATACACAATAAATATAAAATTTTGAATACAATAATTACTTTGTCTAAAAATAAATAAAACAGAATCAAAAATATTAAAATAATAAAATAAAAGCTAAAAGAAAGAAATATGTGCAAAAATATTTTAATAATTATCTTCGTTAAATACAAGTTTCTGATAAGTCTCCGATAAGTCTATAAAAAAATTATATTACCATAAAATTAAACAATTTATTAAAATCTACTAGTATTAAAAAAACATTGTGCAATTTAGCTTAAAAAAAGTAAAATAAATACTTTCGAAATTTAATTATTTATTTATAACTTGTATAGTTTTTGAATTGACTAGTTTTTAATGGCACATGAAATTACATTTATCTTTTTAGTTTATAACTATAATTTTCAAAAAATATGGATCTTTACTTCTAAGAATAAAAATTCTTACTTGAAAAAAAAAAAAATTATAGTCATACATTCGAAATTATAAGTCATTTTTTCTTTATTGCATCCAGTTTCCGAGATATTTAATTATAACGTCTTTGGGGTATCCTGTTGCGAAGTAGACATGCTCGTACAAAAACATAATACGCGAAAGATCTAAACAATCACGAAATTAATTCATTGAAATGCTTCTCATTGAACAACTACGTATTGATACGAGCGATCATCGAAACAAACACACGATGCGGCGGCGGCGGCACGCAAAATGATCGCAGCAGGAGGCGCTTTAAATCCCCCCGGCGTGATATCGGATCGCTCGTAAATGCGGCAGCCTCCTGCCCCCGGGGGCTGATTCGCGATCGTGCCACCCCCGTTAATATCCTTATAATTGGTTAAAACCCGTAACTGATGAGCGGACTCTGTGTGTAAGTTATTATGCGAGCGAGACCCTTGGTTCGCTTGGTTCGGCGATGGGGGTTTACGGGATACGGTTCGACACCTCTTCATTACTCTCTTCATCCCTCCATAGAGCTAACGGCGGCGTGTCGATGCGGATGCCGGCATTATGGCGGCCTCCGTATTGTCATTGTATCACGGATCACCGAGGATCGTTCGCTCCACTGCAGAATTCATGCGAATGTTCGCTCGACTGCACTGATACGCGCAAAAATTCACTCGATATACACATTTCGGTCGCGCTTTGCTCGAGATCAGATTTATTTAGAGGAGATCTATGGCGGATTTGTGGAAATGATGGCAATCATTGAATTTATTTCAATGCTCTGCGATGCAGCGTACACGGGCTTTAACCCTTACAAGAAAACTGCAGAATATCTCTACGTAGAAACATATACACACACACACACAACACTGTCTTATTTAAATTTATTTACGGATTTAATTATACATCCTGGATGAAAAATTCTATGGTACATTTTCTAATAATATTACGCGTTAAAAAATAAATTACAACGAGAAAAGATAGTCGATTTTCTTAACGATTATTCATTTTTGCTTAACGTAATTTTTTTTATCTTGTTTCCAATTAACATTATACATTGTTTTTTTATAGACTTTTAATTAAAAAATGAACAATGTTTAAAATTTTATAAATTATTAATGACAAAATTATTAATACGCGATAAATAGCAGCTTTTCAGTAAATGTTTATTTTCTGTCTAAACAATATTTTTTTAAATAACGCAAGAATCTTTAGATTGAATGCTTCTTAAACATCGTAAACGATGATTTCTAACGATTTCACGGTACGCCAATTTTAGCAGGGCGGTTTCTTCTTTGGTAGGGCAAAATTCCAAAACCGGAATCGCGGTAGAGCGAGCCAACTTAAAAGGCGACCGACGCGGTTACTTTGCAATCTATCCTTCGACAGAGAAAATATATTCGTGGTTTAGGGCACTCGTAATAGAAGCAAGAAGCCGGCAACTCAAGAAGTAGCACGACATCGGTTCCAGGTGTTAATAATCCCGTCATAATTGTGCCTCTGCAGTGCGGATAATTCCTATTAAATGCCACTAAGTACTTGTTTGTATACAAATCCCGCTGCGCTACCGGGACTCTTTTATACTTTTCTTGAGGATAACCGAGACTTCCTGCCGTCGTGCAAAGAAAATGATATTTACCACGTGTTCTGTAGTATCGTGATAAAATTAGTAAGAAATTCGCAAAATTTATTCTAAAATTCTTACTATAATATTAATATACAAGAATATCAATAAATAAAAATTTAATTAAAAAAAGAGAAAGAAAGAAAGAGAGAAAAATTATCTTTACACTTTTTTGCGTTTAATATTTCAACGTTAAATATCTTTGCAAGTTAGTTCTCTTCATAACACAATTCTTCAGAATTAGTTACGCGACCAGGATGGTATATCCAATATTATATCATCAAGTCTAGATGCATTACTGAGATATGGTGCGTCGCGTATCGACCACGAAAGTACATTTCAATGACGGGCATCCGTGTTACATCGCAAACATCGCCACATTCCTCATTGACACGTAACCCGAACGACGCCCTGTAGAGAGCCCGTCGATCCCGTAACGACCGACAATGTTTGATAAGAGACAGGGTGGCCCCGATGGTTTGGATGAGCTCGGATTTAATGGATGGATGAAGGACAGATTCTGCAGATACATCAGAGGACCGGCGCGATATCTCGCGCAAACATCAGGACGGAAGCACGTTATTCTCTCTCTCTCTCTCTCTCTCTCTGTTCCTCCGCGACCCCCTTAACCAGCTACCCCCGATCAGCCTCCGACTCTTTCACGCAGCTACTATCTTTCTTGGATGCTATACTTTTAGTCTCTGTTCCATTTTAAATCGCGCTGTCTCTCTTTTTCTCTCTTCTTCTCTATCCTACATGAACGGATCGCATCATCTCTAATGGTGATTCATCGATCGGCTGAATCGCCTCCGATATCCTCTCTCTCTCGATCCTTCTCTTTCGCGATTGTAGCAGATTGGATATCAAGGTGAATAATGTACTTAAGGGGATAGCTCTTGCGCGCTCGGTTGCAGTTAGATTAGGGATCGCTTGGATGATGTGACTGAAAGATTAGCACATGTACGCTCTTGTTACATATATTACACGTCACGGATTAAATTTTTTTTCCACGTAATCGATACGCGATTATATGAGACTCACGATACTTCCGCTTCTTACACATAGCAAATATATGTATCAAAATAATTTACCGCGAGCTAAATTAATAAAATTTCATTGAAATTCGGATTATTGAATATCGTAATTCTCGGATTTAAATTAGTAGCCTAGAGAGATTAGAAAGATTAATCAACATCAAAACATTGAATTAAATCAACTAAATATCTATCATCCAACGTAACATATTTTTATATATTTAAAATTTGCAGAAAGTAATATTATTGGATATTTTAAGAATATTAATTACGTATCATTATTTAATATCGTTAAATCATAAATACGTTCTGTATGTGAAAGCAATAAAAAAAATCTCGATAAAAATAATATATTGAGAGAGAAAATTACATTTAATTATATCATTTAATAATTTTTCAAAGTTATATCTTTGCTATTTGTATTAAAGAAAACTGAACTACAAGTGTGTGGCACATATACACACACAGATTAGTGGTAAATCTAACTAACGACGCATATTAAAAAGGACTTAAAATAAGTTGAGAAAAATAAATGGTAATCCACTGGTATCGATGAATTTATTGCATCGGATTGATTCATATTTACAACAGGGACACATACATATGCATTTTCATCTACTCTACCGATTATCTACATATATAACTTTTCATTTTTAATTACGCTTGATTAATTCACCGCGATTACCTGCCGCTTATCTAGCTCGCACAATACATGTACAGACAAAAGTCCGTTACGGCCCGCTTCGTTAAAACAAATTTTCAACACACACAATAGTTATCCTTGTTGTATAATCAATTTCGTTTCATTACGCGGTGTTTCAGAACTTATTTTACTTCATAAACAAAAATAGCGTTTAGTTTGCCTTTTTTCAATTACGGAACGTAAATAAAAATGCATAGATGGATATACGAGTTATAATAATAATAATCTTTTTATAAACATTCTTGATTCTATTGCAAAGCTCTTAATGATCGTAGTCATATTAGCCACAATGATCATGATTTAGCTCTAATAATTACAATAATAATAATAGTGACCAATATTTTATTTTCTATCTATAATTCGCTTAAAGCTACTATCACACCGATTTATACATTTGCCTAAAAGTAGATAGATATGCGATCAATGTGTAAAATCGCTCCGTATGTCCACATAATTGTAGATTCTTTTATCTATTTCGCGATATAAAAGAATCTTCTTTAACCTTCGTGTTCGATTATACATCGATCTTGTCTCAATAAAATAAAAATCTTTTTAATATACAATTTCTTGTTAAAAATAATAATGACGAAAAAATACGCAGTTTGTCTCGGAGATTTTAAAATATGAATTTGTTGATTTATTTAAGTTACTGTCGTCAGCATTTCTGAGAAGATTGGATCATTTCATATTATATCAATTTCTGTTACAAAAGTTTACAATTATAGAAAAAACATAAGAATATTAGTTTCAAAACACATTTAAAGTATTATATTAAAAATAAATAGATATATAAAAGAATATTGATTTAATTTTTGCAACAAATACAAATATAATATTTTCAAAATCCTCGTCGGACAAACGCATATTTATTCTAAATTTTTATTTCTGTTACACAACAGAGCAATTAACACGTAATGGAACTCGAGGGTAAACACTGCGTGAGATCTGGACGAATTTTTGATAAGTCTTTTGGACGATTTCATCTTACTCTCTCTGTCAGTCTCTGTGTTGAGACAGCCCTAATTACAAATCACTTTACTAATATCTCTCGTCCATCGTTTACGCGTTAACGTATTTGCTTTGCACATATATATATTTACAAATATTTACATACAAGTATGATAAGCCCGCAGGAGTCCATTGATGCAGTCATCGATGCCCAAAATCGATCATTAAAACCCTCTCCAATTGACGAAGGGACTAATAGGGCAACTGCATTTTGTTGGTTTATGAAATAATATGGTTGATTTCATTCACGCTACGAATTATTTGCAATATCCAATACGCCATCTGATAAATATCCCGTAAAATCACATATTGAAGTTTTATCCATAGACTGTTACAACGCGTGCAATCCAATCGGAAGTCTGACAATTATATCTCTATTTACAGTGTATCCTATGAAGGTTAATAAAATGTAACGTAAATTGAGTCAAAAATTTCTAACGATAAGATATTATAAAAATGTGAAAAAATCAATTTTGTGGTACAATATTTTTATATATAAATATAAAAGAATAAATTTGATCAAATTTAATTAACGTATCGGTTATGTTATAAAAATAGATAACTATAGATACCGTTATCTCGAGATATAAAAGTAAGAAAATCGAGTGATAATTTCATTTAAGTCATTACTTCAATTCATTATTTTGCTTTCAATTGAACTTTAATCTCAATTTTGTAAATGCAGATGAACAACCAACTGTCAAATTTTAGCGAACAAATTGTCAATATTATTTCTTGTTATATTAAAACTTTTGTTGCACTTACAAGAGATCTTATCGGTTCTCAATCACGTTTTCAATGTTGCATATATTTTCAGCTATGTAATATGTCGTGAATGTATTTTCCGATCGTCGTGACAAAAGCGGGATATATTTTGTCCAAGTAAAAGGTATCGGACGCGGATTCTTTGGCGTTTCGTGTGCTCTTCATTTGGAGGTTTGCGCTAATTGGCCCATGTCAGCCGAGTAGCAAGGCGAGCCGAGAATGAGCGGATACTGTGTTTTTCTAGGATAATGCATGTTTTCGCTCTGTCACAACATCTTACTGAGAGAATGGTAACTGGTAGATCCAGGCGGGGGAAGTATAAACGGATTGACAATGGAGTGTTCCGGACCGTGGTATACTGACGAGTAGCCCGACTGCTGGTTATGACTCTGACCCGAGGCGTCCAATCCGCTGAGCACCGGCGAGCCCGCGTCGTGCAGCTTCCTCATGTGCTTCTTCAGGTCGAAGTTCCTGCAGAAGCCCTTGCCGCATATCTTGCAGGAGAACGGTTTCTTGTCGTTGTGCGTGTGCATATGGAAAGTAAGATTGTAGATCTGGTGGAATGCCTTGTTACAGATGTTGCATTTGTACGCCTTCTCGCCGCTATGCGTTAACTTGTGATTCTTGTAGTTGCCCTTCTGATGAAAGCCCTTGCCGCAAAACTCGCAGACAAACGGCTTAAAATTGGCGTGTATTCGCGTGTGGGTGTTCAGGGTCGAGCTACGATTGAAAGCCTTTCCGCAGGTCACGCATTTGTGCGGCTTCTCGGCGGTGTGGATGATCTTATGCCGGCAGAGAGTGCTCGCTTGCCGAAAACCTTTGCCGCAGATTTTGCAGACGAACGGCCGGGCGCCCGTATGCACCGGCATGTGTCGCGTAAGATTGTAGTGCGCGTTGAAAACCTTGCCGCATTCCGGGCAGGTGAAAGTCTTTTGCTTAACGGTCCCGAGCTCGCTGCGCGGTGTCGGACTCTTCTTGCCGCGCTGATTCTCCGGCGACATGCTGGCGAGACTGAGCCTCGAGGAGGCTTCCTGAATGGTCGTTGGGGGTGGCGAGCTCTGCGTGACCGATGGTGTTGAAGCGGGTGGACCCGGAAAGGCCCTTAATAAGGGACTAGGATAGTACAGCGGATAGTACTTGGACAATACGGGGTAATGCTGCAGCAGATCCTGATGCCTTAGAGTCGGTACGTACTTTTCGAACGCCGATTTCAGATGCGCCGAATATGAGGGAGAAGAGATGCTCGGTGGTTGTTGTAAAATCGTCGTCGTTGTCGTTGCTGGTACCGTTGACGGTGGGGGTGGAACCTGATTAGCGTTCTGCTCGGTCAGTCGCTTGTCCGGCTCCATGATCTTCGCGATAGAGAATGTGAGATTACGGCTGGGCGTCGGGGAGGTCACCCTCTCGGGCGGCAGGCTCGTCGGTGTCTCGGTCGCCATTGTGCTGCCCGTTGCGAATGGTTGCATGGTAAGCCTGCAATGAAAATACTGACTGTTAGACGGTATTTCCCGGGGCGTCGGGATTTTCATGGTCGAGGGTGAATCGCGCAGAGGGGTTGGGAAGAACACTCCCTATACTTAACGCCGCCTACTGACTGATTTCTGCCAGGAGTTTAACGCTCTGCGAGTATTTTGGGTAAGGAAAGTATTCTTTCTTTAGAAATATAGAATTCTTATATGTTACATGCTTTCATTAGCCACGATTAAAATATAATATTGATGAATATATTTTTTACTTTGTATATAAGCATGCTACGATAATAGATTAATTTAAATAATATATATTATCTGTTTTACTTAAATCAAATTCAATAATTTCTTTTCACGTACTTTATATTTTCTCAATTAATCAACATAAAAAAGATGCCCATAGAGATGCTACTAAAAGGGATAATACAATATATTCATATATATAAATGCTTTCTGATTATTAACCTAAATATGCAAATTTAATTTGTTTCTTCAAAATTTTATTTTTTAATTTAAGGTAATATAAGAAAGCGAAATACGTATAAAATACGTAAATATAATAAGAAGTTATTCACGAGATGAAGATATTAAAACGTCTATTATTCATTGATAGTACATTCAATGTGCACGGTACTTTACTAATCGTTCAAAGAGGGAATATGCAAATAATAGCGATCAATTTGACGACTTCGAGGACCGCCAGTACTGGCGATTCTCTCTTCGCAGCCCCACATTAGTGTTTTAGCACACACCGAAACCCACATGTCTGTAAATCCGAATGTGAAACATATGCTACAGCTATTATATCCACTCAATTGAACTTTGCGTTTGCAGAAAAATAAAAACGACGAGGATAAGTAAACGTCGACTTTGAACAAGAAAGTGACGATTTCTGCTGTTTTCTAAACGCTGCCAATGTTTTCCTACATCATTTTCTGTTCGTAAACGCTACCTCTTTAATGACTTTAATCGAAAATGTTGAAACCACCATTTTTAATATATTTAAAAAAATTAATGTTTTTGATATTACATAAAAATTTTGTGTTATTCACAATTTTATCTTATTTCAAGTTTCTCTCATGATAGAAAAAACTACAGTATAAGTAAAAAATGATGTGTGATACAATCTACTTTATTTTTATGAAATTATTTATATTATTTATATGAGATACGCGCTATTTGTAACATAGCTAAAATATATATTTTTAGTATATTTTCAAATACTTGATGATAAAAGATGTATTTTTCACACATCTTATTATCAAAATAAATATTTAATAAGATATAGATATTTAAACGTGGGGAGGGGATGTCAGCTGTATATGTGAGCATACTGTATATTAAACATATGTAATATGGGAGCAGGGAATGAATGACAGAACTGAATGAGACGCGAAATGGTCAGCACAGTAGAAGAGCAAGCTTTCCCGGAGGTATCGCGAAAGGTTTGCACGTCGAAAAGTAGAAATGTTTGCTCCGTGGAATGGCGTTATGTTTGGACTTGGAATGACGGCTGGAATTGGATGGGATTTCGTTGGCTATTCCACGAAATACTCCCAGCGCGATAGTCGTCGGATCTTAATTCAAGATTTACGATAGAACGAGTCTGATTGGAACAAGTATAACTAGAAAGCCACGTTTTAATATTTTACTTCTGCTAAAAAATGGAAAATTACATTAATACATTTTCTTTTCTAAATGATATGTAAAAGCTCTTTTATTATATATTTTATTGATAAATTTTTTATTTTACCTTTTTATCTTTCGTTTAACGTAACTCAATGATCGGTATCTATTTTAATAAGAGGATATTTTCTAAAGTTTTTATTGGATTATAAGTATCTTTTAACTATCTTTCTGTAAAATTATTATGGTTCTTATTTTATTTTATGTATTAAAAACATTAATTTTTATTTGTCTACTTGCATAATTTTGCAATTATTATTGTTCGCGTATATGGATAAAAAATTTACAATGTACGCTTAAATCCTTATCAAATTTCATAAAGATGTTTCATCTTTTAAAATAAATTAAAAACATATATTTCTAGTAAATTTAAATATATAATTTCTTATAAAATCAACAATTCATTCTAATCATCCATAATTTTATTTCTCGTCACGAAATCCCGCATCATAATGCGGCACATTTACGCTCCAACTTTTCTTGCTTTTGTATGCCCCGCTAGAAATTTTTCCGAAAAGCTCAAAAGAGTGAATTTACTGGATGGAACGCAGTGGCCCTTCGCAAGTCCCGCCCATCGTCGGGTGCCTCTCGATTGTCCCTCAGTCGAAGGCAGCCCTAATAACCGGCGCAACCCGGTAGGAAAAGCTACCCCCGGTGTGAGAAGCGAGACTCGAGCAGGGAAAAACGGTCTTGCCTCGCAACGTGATTCGAAACCCACCCCTGCCGCCTATAGAAAAGCGCCGACAACGTCGACGCGACGCCAGCTTCCAGCGCCATGGAAGGGCCTAACCGTCGACCGAAGTGTACCATCGACAAAAGGACGCGATTATGTATCACGCGAAGGCTCTTCTTGGAGCTCTTCCAACGTAAGCTCGAAGCACCCGTCATCTCTCGCGTCACTTTGCGTCTTTGTGACTCCGTCGTGTTTTTCTCTCCGTTTCTCTCTTGCTGCTACACTTTTGTTTTATTGAACTGTGACGTAATATTGATTTTGGTTTCATAGGTATTTTACAAACAATTAATATTTTTAAAGTAAATTTTGTATGCCTTAAAAATTTGACATTTTTTAATAATTTTATTATATTCTCGATATATTAAGTTGATCATTTCTAAGATACATTTTGATATGTTTCGCTCTTTTTTTCTGCCGTTCTATTATTTCATTGCTAATAACTTTATCTCTTTTCTTATTTATTCTTTTTTTTTATTTCTTACTCTTCATGCCCTACTACGATATTTATTCTTTTTTTTTCATTTTTATTCACTGTTTCTCACTGTTATCACTCTTAATTTTATTTTCTTATAAATGTGCAACAAATTATGATTCTCTTCTATTTTCTATTAGCCCTCTTTCTTAAATGTCTATCTATTTTCTATTTCTCGCACGCGCTACCCTCTGCCTGTTCTCTCTCTCATCGATCCCTCTTATTTTCGTATTTTCTACTCTATTATTTTTTCCCTCTCTCACGCACTGTCATTTTCTTTTCTGCTTCATCTCCCTTCGTGCTCATCGCCTTCTCTGTTACTCGTCTCTAACATTATCTTTGGTTCTCTTCTCACACTCTCCTCATTCACACGCTTCTCCCTCCGCTGTCTTCACCCTGCCTCACTCATCCTCCTTCCCATTCTCACGCTTCTCCCTCCATCTCTTTTACTATCTTTCTGCCCCCTATACTCTCACTCCCTCCCTTGTCGCACGCTACCTGAAACTATACTTTCGTCCTTCTCTTGAGTATCGCGTCAATCTGTATCTCCTTCCCACTATCCTCTTCTCGTTTCACTTCAGTCGACAGGGATAGCAGAGTAAGCCGCTACCGACGGAGGGGATGAACGAGAACAGATTGGTGGAGGCTATCATCGGTCGCCCGAGGGTGCAAGAAGCGAGGGGTGGCGAACCGCATCATGGTGGGGGCTAGCATTGTTACAGTACTTAACGAGCGGCCGTGGCAATCAGTATCGTTCCCCGCTACCGGGACCCGTGGCACCCGGCAATTCTACCAATTTATATCAATCCCAGCCGAAGTATGGCCGACACGCAGCCAGAGACCATTTTGTTTTCTTAATGCCACTCGACCCAATCGACAATGTGTCCCACGCGATCGTCAACGCGGCCATTTGCTCCTTTCGGAGCCTGATGTATTTTCGCGAATTATTCTCTCTACGCGCGATAAAAAAGTATGCTGACCGAATAATCATACGATCACACACAGATAGAAAGTCCAAATGGGGATAAAATTATATGTCAAACTTTAAAATGTTCTGGCAATTAAAAAACATGTATAATAACAGGAAAGAGGCATAACAATATTCTATTGTTAGCAACTATGTTTTTGCATATATATGGAGTACAGGGTAGGAGAATTTAATATTTCAAATAGAAAGCATGCGCAATATTGTATAAATATTCATATTGCGTGACATATTTTTAAAATTGCTTCTTTTAATATATAATTTTTTATATTTCGGGACATTGTATATCTGATATATGAATTTATTATAGTGTACATTGAGTGCGTAATTGATTAAACATATTTGCAAAATATAGATTCTATCTGCGTATATAAAAATATTACTAAGTAAAAATATGAAAAATATTTTAAAGAATCGTATGTCAATCCTCTCTTGCTAGAAATGTTATATTTTTAAATAGTTTACGAGAGAGAAATGAATTGCGAAATAAACTTAACATCGAGGAACAAAATGTTCATAACGAGTGTTGCAAGTTTTGTATAAAAGACGCGCGGACTACGCGAAGCTAAGAGCCAGCTTTCGTGACTGGCTCAATAACGCGGCAACCCCTTTGCGAGCGAGCGATCTATCTACCGTTAGGGATTAAATCGCGGACGCTAAATGTACAAAGTTTACCGATGTGGTTACAAACGATCCGAAGAATCCAATCATCTCCAGTAAACTATTAGCGAACGATGAGCGGATAGCTACGAACTTAAAGAAAGTTGAAGAGACTCGAAGGAACTTGAAATGGCTTTGCAAATTTGTTCGTCTCGTTGTCGATCTGCTAATTACCTTTCTCTACCCTTCGATCCCTTTCGACCATCAGGATTTCGTTCTCTTATTCACTTTCTATCATAATCAAAGAAACAATTAAGATATTACACTCAACTGGACGTCGTTTCACCGTTGCTTTTACCGTGAATACTTTTTAGGCTCGTCCCCCGACTTGCAAATGCGACTGTCTAAGGATCGCCAGTTATCTTTCTTCGAGTTTCTTTAGATCTTCTGTGACTAATGCAGTAAAAGAGCGGTATCACTCTTATTATTGAATTGTTCTTTCTATTTGCACACGCTTCTTTCTTGCAT